GTCCGGAGCCCCGCCAGCGAATCGCGCTCACTTCGGCCGGGGCTCTGCCTCGTGGCGGAACGGCCGCAGTCCACACGGTCGTGAGCCACGGCGTCCAGTTTCTGGACCCAGAAAAATTCTGACGGACTCTGGCCTGTCTGAGGGGACCGTGCTCGCAGCGCCCCCCGTAGAGACTGAAACGCGGCGCGCCCTGGCCGCTGCCCCCAGGGCCCCGGGAGCTGTCTTACTGCCACCGGGCTGTGTGAAGTCCTGTGAAGTCCTGAGTCGGGGCTTTAAGTGACAGTGCCGTCAGGCTCGCAGCCTTCCCAGCCGGTCCTTTGTCACAGAAATAATTCTGTTTCCGTGGACGTGTGTGCTCCCCGTTAAACTTTAGCTAAATAGCAGGTGAGGCTGCTCATTCTTCGAAGGAAGGCGAAGGGATAAAACCGGGAAGTCGACGTTAACGGAAGGCTCCCGGGCCCCATCGCCAGCTGTCATTTTCTCTGCGCGGCGCCCTGGGGGCCCGGCTGGCAGAGCCACGCGGTGTGGCCACCCTCGGCCGGCACGTGATTCAGAAGTAGAGCGCGCAGGTGACCGGCCTTTGCTCCCGCCACACGAGGGCGGTCTGAATAACACCCCGTTTACTAGACTCGCAGGTTGTCTCGCGCGGCGTCTTCGCGCACGCAGACTCCTTGCGGACTCCTTGCCCCCTGACGCCCCCCGGCGCCTCACCTGTGTGACAGCTGTGGGGTGCACCGTCCGGGGGCTGGTGGGGACGCCTCGTGTGCTCGCTTGATGTGGTGCACGGACAGCTCTGCCCGCGGACTGGCCCTGCTCTGACCGCTGCTCCGCACCCCACCTCGGCGCCCCTGCTCCGCACCCCTGCTCCTCGCCCCACCTGTGCACCCCTGCTCCGTGTCCCTGCTCCGCACCCCTCCCCTGCACCCCTGCTCCGCACCCCACCTCCACACCCCTGCTCCTCGCCCCACCTCCGCACCCCTGCTCCGTGTCCCTGCTCCGCACCCCTCCCCTGCACCTCACCTCCGCACCCCACCTTCGCATCTCTGCTCCACACCCCTGCTCCGCACCCCACCCCGACGCGACGTGAGCGCACGTGTTCCCCAGGCGCCCATCTGACCGGCTTTGTCCGAGAGACACGGTAAATCATGATGTTGTCCATTGCTGCTGCTTACGGTGATGAGTGATTCCCGGGCCGCTGAGGGACCTCACAATTAAGAATAGTGGCCGGACTGAGAGGAAGTGATTCGGCATGTTAATCTTTAATTAAGGCAAATTGGAAAGCAGATCCTGTGAACATTGACCACAGGTCGGGAAACCGCATTAGGCTGTCCCCGTGTCCGATCCCTGCAGCTGACCAGTGTTCCGGGCACTTTCTGGGGCGAAGGGTATCGTCTTTGCCGGTGGTTTGGGGGGCATTCGTTGTCAGAGGCCCCCTGGCTTGTGCCAGTGCACTCTGTCATCTGATTTGGTGGCCGGGCTCTGGGTCACCCAGCCAGGAGGACGGAGGCCTTGAGAGCTCGTCCCAGGCTCGTCAGCCTGTCGACTGCTTCTCGCCTCGCCCTGCGCTTTTCTCCAGAAGCAGGGGGCCTTCCTTGGGGCCGAGGGGGCTCCAGCCTCACCGTGTCGTCCGCGTGGCGGGGCCATGTGCCGGCCTCCACGCTTGCTCGTGTCTGTAGACCACCCGCCTGCTCGCCAGGCTCCAGGACAGCCCCTTCCCAGGCAGGGGGACATTCAAGGAAAGGAAGGCCTCAGTGTGTCCCAGCAGCACACAAAGCAGGGTGCTGTTCCCCCCCCCCCGCCCAAGCGCCATCTCCTGGGTTTAACTGAGGTTTGCCAGCTCTGGTCCTCGGGCCCAAGGCTGTGTGGGCAAAGGGTGCGGTTTTGGCACCTCTTTGTGCCTTCGGAATTGGGCCCAGGGGTGAGGCGTCCCGGCAGGTGACAAGGCCGGCTGTTGGTGAGGCCAGCCTGGGCGGGGCTGCCAGGCTCTCTCAGGTTGGCTCCTTCTGGGCCCAGGAGCACGGAGCCCTCTCCAGGCGGTGCACCTGCTGCCCACGGCCCCGCCCACCTTGTCTCTCCGCTGACAAGGAAGAGACCGAGGGGCCGAGGCTGCCACCAGGGGCCGGGCTGCTTGCCTCCTCTCTCCTCAGGGCCACCTTTGGGTCATGTTTGGAAAGAGAACACGGAAACGTGGAGGACGGGTTCTCGCGAGATGTCCGTGATTCCTGCTCTCCCGCTGCTCTCGCGCTCGCGTCCCTGGCTCTCAGCTCTTCCCTATGGCTTCTCTTGGGCCCTGCTGTCCTCCTCCCACCCCCTCCCCCCGCTTCCTGTTCCCCCCAGAGGGGCGGAGGGCAGTGGGCAGAGAAGACACCGAGGTGGGCTCCCCAGAGTCAGGGCCTTCACTGGCGCCGTTGGGACGTCCCGAGTGTTGGAAGCACTTACGACGATTTCCTCAGACTCGACAGTTTTCCACAGGAGGTAGGGACGCGGCAAATCCTACTTCACGGCACAGGTGACTAAGCCACAGAGCAACGGAGTCATTTCTTCGGTCACCCGGGAGCTTAAAGCACCAAGGCCTGACCCTGGACGTGCGTCCCGAGACCCTGTACGTTTTCAAAATTGACGTTCGATAAAAGTCACTTCTTGGGCGTATACTCCGGGCGCGTCTAGTCACACACTCACCACCACACAGGGTCCCAATAGTTCCCTCCCCCTCAATGCCTCGGGGCCGTTTGGTGGTCAGCCCTTCCCTACACCGAACCCCCGGGCACCATCGCTCTGTGGTCTGCTCCTATCGTGTGGACTTTTCCAGAATCCTCGTGCCTCAGGCACTTTCTCCCTCGTGGTGCCGTGGTGCCGTGGTGCCGTGGTGCCGGGTCAGAGGTCATTGCTGTTAGATGCTGGGCAGTTCGGCCGCTCAGAGGGGTGGTTTGTGCGTCCGCCACTCCAGGAACGTTTGGGTTAATTCCAGGATTTGGCTGTCACAGCTGCTTTACGGTTTTTATACGCGAACGTACATTTTTACAGGCCAGCGTAGTATTTTTTCCCCTTGGGTGGATACTTATAAGCAGGAACGCGAGGTTTTCTTGTTTGTCGTTAAATTTTCCGTTTGATAAATGTGACGTTACGCGTTGCGAAGACGAGGCGTATGGTGTGTTCCTGTGAGGAGGCTCCCGCCGTGGTGGTGTTGGCGAGGCCTCCCGTCGTCCTGTCTGCGGTCGTCAGCTGTACGCTGGGTCTCTGTCGCCTTTGTTGCCTTTGTCACGTCCCGTTCACGTGTGTGTCCTTACACGTCGTTCGTTTTACTCCCGCCCCCCTCCCTCCATAACCACCGTCTCCCTGGTTTTTTTCTTTCAAAAAGTTTATTTCAAAAGACAGAGAAGCGTGTGAGCAGGGCAGGGGCAGGAAGAGGGAGAGAGGATCCCACGCAGGCTCCCCCCAGCCCTGGGCTCCACCGCAAGCCCTGAGACCGTGACCTGAGCCCAAACCGGCACTCTGAGCCACCCGGGTCCCTGCCGGTGTTCACAGTAGCTTTAGCCTCCCTAGCTTCTGTGTGCGTGGGAGTCACGCAGGGCTTGTCCTCTGATTTGCCTCGCTGAGCGTGGCGCGCGGCCGGCCCGCGTGCCGGTCCCCGTCACGGGTGGATGCCGTCCCACTGTGCGCGTGCCCCGTGTCTTCCTGCGCCGTGCACCTGTCGATGCGCTCGGACTGTTTCTGACCTGCCGTGAGGCCGCCCGCGTCGGTCCGCGAGGCCGTGCTGTTTTGCTTCCCTGCCAGAAACTCCGAATTCCCTGGAGACGAGCCGACCCTCCAGGACCGCCCGTGCTTCGTTCCAGTGCCAGTTTGGGGCTGAGAACCAGGGCTTCTGGGGCCCTTTGCTGAGCCACGAGGAAGGGCTGCCAAGGTCCAGCTCCAGGGTCCCCGGGGAGCTGGCCAAGGCCAGAGCCTGGAGAGTTTTGTGTCCTTTACAGAAGCTCGTGGCTGTGGCTCCTCGGATAGTCTTCCAGGATGGGAGGAGGGTTGGTGCGCGGGGCTCCCTCGTCCTCCCGGAGCGGGGCTCTGGCCGGTGGTGCGGCCTGTGCTCCCCCGGGCCGTCCCCTCCGCCCCCCTGGCTGCGTCGTTAGGGACCCGCGTGCCGTGGTTGAGTCTCCCTCCTGTCCCTGGGGGCTGCGCTGGGCGCACTCGGGTCCCCGCTTCTGCGTGGTCCTCGTCATCCCCCCCGGATGAGCAGTGGCTCCGGGGCTGTGAGCCCGCTGCGGACCTCTGCCTGGTCTCTGGGTTTTTGCTGTCATGTTTGTGTTTTGCTGGGTCCTTTCCAGTCCTGTGCCCGTCTCACAGGTGATCTGGGAAGGTCATAAGCTGCTTCTCTGTGTGGAAAGAGCATAAGCCTTTGAGGTCAGATGGGGGTGCGCTGCGTCTCCTGGGGGGAGGCGTGTGCACGTGTGCGCGTAAGCGTGTCCCCCGGAGGCAACGTCCCGGGTGATTCCGCCGTGCTCTCAGCCCGGCTGGCCAGCGGGCGTACACCACCCCCTCGATGCCCCGCGTCCCCGTGCCTGCAGCCCCGTGGGTCCCACATGTGAACCTTCGGGCGCTCGTCGCTCGGGGCGCCACCGTCTCCGGGCGCCGTGGCGTCTCCACCAGCTCGTGGCGTGGCAGACGTGTGAGCACGTAGTGGCCGCGTTGCACGCTCTGTGTCGATCTGGCGGCAGGGAGGTGGGCAGACGTTGGGTTACAGGATGGAGCACGTCGGCGGCCTCTTGCCCCGCCCGGGCCCTCAGGAGGATTCCACCCCGTGGTGTCCCGAGGCGCCACGCCCTTCTCCCCCGTGGCCAGCTCCTCCCTCCCTGGCTCCCGCGCTCCCTCTGGCAGGACTCGGCTTCTTTAGTGCCTTCTGGTCTCGGCTGCATAAATGTTTCCATCCCAGTCTCCTGTGCTCCCTGCAGACTGGGAGCCCTGGGGCCCAATGAGTCACCGTGCGGCCCATCCGTGCGGCCCATCCGTGCGGCCCATCCGTGGCCAGGCCCTGCGCCGTCCAGCCCGGCCCGCCTGACGGAGGGGTGGCGTGGCGGGTGTGAGCTTCTGTGGACCCATGGGCTCGGACGGGAACACGAGGGGCGGTGTGGCTGCTGGCCCGCACCCTTCTGTGGGGACCTGCTGCCGGGCAGCCCCCTCGTCCCCATCCTGGTCGCCTGAAGACGCGAATTCCTGAACTGTCGGGATGTTGCCCGCGGCCTGTGGGGAAAGTAACTTCCTTAAAAGGGTAAAGAGTGAAGGCTTCTTTCCGTTTTCCTCCATTTGAGTCTCCTGAGACCTTCTTCGTCTCTCCCGGACACACTTGACGTGCACACGTGCGGACACCTGCCTCCGGGAGACACACCCGGACACACTTGATGTGCACACGTGCGGACACCTGCCTCCGGGAGACACACGCGGGCACATCCCCGGCCCCCCCCCCCCCCGGGGGCGCAGCTCATGCCCCTCTGACCTGGAGGGAGCACCCGTTCTAACACAGCGGACGTACGCCCCGTCTCGCCTCTGTCCCCGCAGCCTTCGTGGGCACCTCTGTGTCCCTGCGTAGCTGGGAGGCCAGACCACACCTGTGGAAGGGCTTGCCCCTCCTGGGAGGGCAGGCCTGGCTCTGGGCGCTCCTGTGATCTCTCTCTGACCCTGGGCACGCTTCCCCCGGGTCCCCTGGGCTCTGCAGCAGCGGGCTGGCAGAGGCACAGTGAGTGGAGGGCCCCATCCTGGAAAGGCCCATCCTTTTTCAGTCCCCTGTGAGAAGCTTCCCCACCCCCACCCCCGGTCCGAATGGTTCTCAGGGCAGAGACGACGGGGATCTCCCAGCTTAGGGGCACTCGTTTGTGTCCACCGGCAGCCCCGGGGGCCTCGCGTTTGCCGGCACTTTCCATCTAGCGTGCCGAGGACAGCCTCTCCTCCCCAAAGCTGAGCCTGGGAGGGCTGGTTTTGCAAACCCACCCGTGGTTTAGAGACGCACCCTCCATCCACGTGGCCCTGACGGCTGGGCGCCGTGGCCCTGCCCTCGTGGGCCATCAGGGCCGTAGCTCGAGAGAACCTATAGCTGGAGCCCGGTTGGACAGGGCTGGTGGCCCCGTGAGTGAGACCGTGAGCCCCACAGAGCATCGCAGCAGAGGGCACTGCGCGGCCTGCTGTGGGGTCTGGGGCTGGCTGGGTGATCTGGAGGAGGGTGGGCGAGGGAGGAGGCGCCCGTTTTGACCAGATGGGAGGGTGTTGGTGTTCCGCGACCTTACGCTGTCTGCTTCCTGCCCGTCCGAGGACCACGTCCGATGCTGGCTCTCAGGGTGCGTGTCGCCTTGTTAGGGCCAGACTGGCCATCAGACTCTTATTTCTGTCCTCCCCAGCGTGGCCACTGCAGTGTCCTGTGTCCTGGACTGCAGCGGGGGACCCTCGGCACCTCATAGCCAGCCAGCCGCCTGGTGACGGGGTGCTGGGGCCACTGTGCAGCCCTGCACACCTCTCCCCTGCAGTCTCTGCTCTGCCGTCACTACCTTTCACGTCCGGCCCGGCCCTCTGCTGCCCTGACCCTCCTCGGGCTCCCGGCCGAGCCTGACCGGGAGCCGCCTGCCCCCTCAGGGTCCCGCGCGGGACCCAGCCCTGTCCCCAGAGGTCGGAGGCTCGGCCCCTGGGCTTCCGTCATCGCCCTGTCCCAGCAGCAGGGGAACAGTGGCGCTCTGTGGGCTGGGAGGCCCAGCTTTTCGCACCGTGGCTCTGTGATCTTGGACAAAGTGATCAGCCCGTGCGTGTACATCACCACCCAGCATCTTTATGAGGATTTTGTCAGACGGGGTGGTGTGTGGGGGCGCCCGGTTCCCTCCCGCTTACAGAGAGGATTCAGCTGGTGGGGGGACCCTTTCCTTCCACACCACACTGAGCGTCACCTGAACACAAAGCCCGCCTTGTGCGGAAGCCTGGCCGCCCCTGCTCGCGTTGAAAACTTGAACCTTCCTTCCCAGGCCTCTGGGTAGAAACGCTGCCAGGTCTGGGCTCCCAGCTCCTCCCGACCACAGTCGCGGAAAGAGCCCCCGCCCCCCGCCCCCGATTCGTGCCCCATGAAACATACACGTGCCAGACGTGGCTGCTGGAAGGCATACACTGTGCTCTGCCAGACCGAACCTTCTCCGTGTTCGTGCCCCCGCGCTAGCCACGCCTCTGGTGGCTTCAGTCTGCATCCAGACGTGTGTGTTGCCCGTGGACAAGCCTTTCCGGTTCTGTCTTCGGGACCCAGCGCTGGAGCCACTGATCATCTTTTTTGAACGAGGAAGCCCTGAGCGGTCTGTTCAGTCACTTCCAGGCTGAAAGTCTAGGAAAATGAACTCTGTTTTACTTTTTACTGGAGCCAATCTACAGTATAAAGAAACCTGAGTTTTCAGAGTGAAACGTCGCTCAGCCGTGAAATCGCCCGTCCCCCGGCAAGCGGCTGAGCGGGTGGTGGGGAAGCAGACGGAAGCGGGGAAAGAAAAGGAAGCCCAGAGGGTCGGCGGCTGACTGCCAGGGCCTGTGAGCTGTGCAGGCGGCTCCTGTCCGTCTCCGGTCCTCCCCTCTCCACGAGCTCCCTTGCTGGCAGCGGCCGGGCAGAGACCTCCAGTTCTGTAAGGAGGACAGGGATTCAGTCTTAGGTCGTTCCAGCCACACAGGCTGCACTGGGAACAGCATATGCTTTGGCCGCGTGACCCAGACAGGTTCAAGTCGGCCTACATACAGAGTCACCGGTGTGGCGGCCGGAACAAGTAACGCATGTGCCTCCCAGCGACTGTGGGCACCCAGCGGATTCCACACGCTAAACAGTCCCTCCCGGAAAGCGGGCAGCGTCTGCAGTTTGAAATAGGACCTAAAACCCCACCCGTAATACAGAAGAAGCGCTCACAACCTGTCTAACCGAGGGAAAGTCCCCCGAAACCTTCCCTTGAGAGCACTCGGCCCCAGGGCCCGCGTTGGCACCACCCAGGCCGGGGCTTGGGGCTCTGCCCTCTGCCCTCTGCCCCCCGACAATGGGGTGTGGGCGTCAGGCAGCCGGAGTCCTGAACACAGAGGCGGACTGATCCCTTATTGCCCTGCGGGCCTATGCCTAGAGCCTCCCTCGGGGTCAGGCAGAGTCAGGGCGCTGTCGCCTGAAGGGCGCTGGTCACCTGTGGCCTGGCAAGGCTGGGCACGGGGCAGGTGCGAGTTTTGGAGGGAGGGTGGGGTCAGCACGGAGAGTCAGGAAGTGGCGTGGGGGTCCCCAAATTCCTGAAGGAGGGGGCCTGCCTCGAGGAAGTAAGAGCTGAGACACGGGTTTGGACACGTGGCTTCCCTGAGCCAGCACCGGCGGGAGACGTGACGTGTGGAGCCCTCTGCATGTCTCCCCCGCCAGGTGTCTGCGTCCCTTATGCAGCTGGGGGACTTCCTCTGCAGCGCCCTGCCCGCTGGGGTCACTGATGGCATCCAAGGGCCACGTGAGCTCTGTGTGAAACCCACAGAGGCTCCAGAGAGGCGAAGGACGCCCCCGGGAGCCCCGCGCCAGCAAGGCTGGGGCTGGAGAGTGTTTTCTTTGAAGGTCTCTCACAACGTGTGGCCCCCACGGCAGTGTTGTTGCTGGCGAGCAGCTGACAAGGAACCGGCCTGGGGCCTCTGTTCCCAGAGCCTGGGGTCTGAGGAGCTGCTTTGGAGTGGGGGAGCCTCCCAGAGGTTTGAGGACCACTGAAAGGGGCTGACCTCCCCTAGAGATGGGAGACCTGGGGCCCGGAAGAGGGGGCTGGGCCACTGCCAGTCTCAGGCCTGCGTTCTCTGGGCTCCCAGGGTGACGAGGTGCCTTGTCATTAGATCCCCGTGGCCACCAGCCCCCTAGTCCTTGACGAGCGTGCGTGGCCGGTAGGGAAGAAAGGCCTCCAGCCCCTGGTGCACAGGCGAGCAGAGGAGCCCTGGGCTACGGCAGGGCCAGGCGTGCCTCCCTCAGCCCCCTGTGCGGGCACTCGGGGGTCCGGAGCCCCTGTGTGCGACCCCAGCAGGGTCTCCAGGTTCCGAGTCCCCGTGTGCAGCCCCAGGCCTCCCCCGCCACCCCGCTTCCTGTCGTGAGTAGGTTTACAGAGCTTCCCACAGCTATTGGAAGGATGCCTGGGGATGACGCGGCCGGTGGGTGGGCACTGCCCCCAGAAAGGGCCCCTCCTGTGGACAGTGTCGTGGGGCGACGTTCTCGTCAGTGGAATCTGGGCCCCCCCTCCTTAGGCAAGAGTGAGCTCCCGGGGGGCAGTACCCGTTTCTGTCGTACGCTTTGGGGGCATCCTGCCTCCCGCGCCCATGAGCTTGGGCCTTGGCGGTCTCTTCCTCCGAGAGCCCTGAGTTAGCAAGATAGCCTTCCCTGTGAACTCCCCCAGCCTTGTGGGGGAATTTCTGAGCTACTGGACGAGTGACAGGCCTGGCTGGCCACCCGCCCCCTCCCCGCCCCGACCTCCGGTCTTCCTTAAGCTGACAAAACCACGGTCCTCCCCAGCTGCTGCCACTGGGAGGGCCGGTGTGTGGTTTGGCTCCTGCCTGCGGTGCCCTCGGTGCCCTCGCTCTGTGCCGTGGCCCCCGCTGGCAGACAGGCAGCGTCCTCCTCCGGTCTGCATGGGCTGCTGCCTCCGCTCTCTGGGGTGCCTTCCCCACTCACCCTGGCCCCCTACCTGCCCAGGCTTCAGCCGAGCCGGCCGTGGGCCAGTGGACGAAACACAGGACAAGCGTGGCTGCTAAAAGAACCACGGAGACTTACATCCTGAGTTCTTGGTCCCGAGTGGAGGGGAGAGCCTGAAGCCTTGACATTGGGGGTGTCAGGCCGGCTGCTTAGCCCCCAGGACTCCGTCCCCTCCTGTAAATTGGCAGTAATTACAGCATTGCCCCTCGGGGTCTTGGAGGGCTAAATGAGCTAGCACACCGGGATGTGGGGGGGCCCAGGACAGTCGGCAAAGCCAGGTTTCTGCCACGAGCCGGGACCCTCACAGAGACGAGGCCCTGCGTGTGTCTGAGGTGGGCCGGCCTCTGCGGCCCAGCCTGGCCTGTCCCCCTGTCCAGCCGCTGTCCGTCTACCGCTCGGAAGCCCCAGCACCCTCCTGCTGAGGGGTCTTGAGGACTCGGCCTGCCTTCTTGTCACATCCTGGCTCTGCGTGTCTGTGGACCCGCTTGGGATCCCCGCTTGGGATCCCCGCTTGGGATCGTCTGCGCCCCGAGGCCTCGGGCCCCGAATCAGGGTTGAGGTGCAGGAAGACACGGCTCCCGGGACGGGGCGCTGGGCCGCCTCACCCCCGGGCCTGCCGCCGCCTCGTGCGGCCACGTGCCCTCGGTGCCACGTGCGGGGCCAGGCGAAGGCGGTTTCCTGGCAGGCGCTGGCGAGGAGGTAAAAGTGTCCGAGCTCTGCATACACGAAGCGCACACAGGCCCTGGAGATGGGCGAGAGCGTGGAGGGGATGCCCTTGGCCCTACGCCCTCCCCTGCCCACGGGGCCGGCCAGTGGGTGGGTTGTCCCCCTGGAGCGGGAACTCACAGTGCAGGCTGCGGCCCAGCGTCCCCGTCCCCGATTCGCGGTGCGCATCGCTGGCCCCGTGTTGGGAAGGCGGCAGCTCGTTCCGGGACCGGCGACTCTCTGTCACCCACCCCCGTCTCCCAGGGCGCACGGTTGGGTGTTGTCCTTGCACATGAGGACACGTTCTCTGCGGGAGGGACGTCTGCCCTCGGCTTTGCCCACGGCGGGGGTTGCGGACGTCACCGCGCCGTCCCTCGCGGCCTCCACAGGTGGCCTTCCCCCGTGCAGAACGGGCACACCCGTGTTCACGGCAGCCCCCCCCCCCCGACAGCGGCCACAGGCGGAGGCAGCCCCGTGCGTGTCGATGTGTGTCGCACGAGGGGATGCAGTTACTCGGCCGTGAGGAGTGGCGTTCGGATACTGGCCCGAGGCCGGGGGGGGGGGGGGGGGGGGGGGGCTGTACAGACGCGGCGCTGGGTGGGAGGAGCCACGTGCCGCGTGAGTCCAGTGAGTCCACCGTCGTGTGTGTCGGGGGAGGGAAGCAGGTCCCTAGAGACGAAGATGAGTGGCTGCCCGGGGGAGTCACCTCTTCTGTCGCTTCCCGTAATACCAGCACTAACGATCCCTTTGTCTTGACTCTTGTCACTAAGACACCTTTCCGTGTTTGGGAATGCATTACTTGAGGCAAACGCCGCAGGCCTCCGCTGTTCTTAGATGTGTGGACCTTGCAGCCGCCCCCTCAGACGGCTTCCTCCTGCCTGACGGCAGCCGATCCCTGCTCCCCAGGCTCTGTTCCCTTTGCTCTGTCGTCGTCCTGCTGCTGTCCAGTCATCAAGCGGAGGAGAGGGTGGGCCGACTACGGACTGACGCCTCCATTCCAGCCCAGGCCGCGGCCTGGGAGCGAGCCCCGCAGACGTGTGGGCCGGCGTCTAGGGCTGGCCTGTCACCAAGGCGGCTGGCCTACCGGCTACTTCCTGATTTGTCTCCCGGCTCGTGTGGCCTCCGTCACCCGCGGAATCTCACAGCAGACCCATAGCACTAAGTAACGGGGCTTTTTCAGACACTGGGGGATCTAGGCTTTGTGGACACATCTCTCAGAGGAAAACCGTATCTGGGTTATTGTGGCTCCGACCTGCCTTCCCGTCGCAGTGCACGGTCCGCTGGCCGTGTTTGCCCGGCTCTCCCCTTGCAGATGGGGCGCTGCGGGTGGGGAGGTGAAAGGCGTGGGCCGAGGCCGGGAGGGGTGCGGGCTCCGTGCTCCTGGGGGGGGGCAGGCGGGGCGCGACGTGCAGGGGGCCTGCGGGAGCAGGCGCTTTGCAAGAGCGTTGTTCACACCCTGTGGAACCGTGGGTCGTCACAGAAGCATCTCCTTGATCCCCTCAGCGAGTGGAGGGACTCGAGGGGCAGGCCCTGTCTGTCTGCGCTGCTGTTCGGGCAGGTGTCCGTCCACCGTCCTGACAGCGCACCCAGGCAGGGATTCACCGTGACGGCCTTTCCTTCCTGGCCCGCAGGTCCCGCTGCCCGAAAGTCGCCGTGTAGCGTGGGCCACGCTGCGGCAGCTGCTGGCTTCTAGGAGAGGCCGCTGTACGTCACCCGTGTCTCAGCTCCCGCGAGGCCCGGCCCCTGTCCGGTGCCGCTAGTCGTATGACTGCACGACCTGGGAAGTCAGAGGGATATTGAGCCACATGTGACCCGGCAGGAGGGTCACGGGAACTCCCAGGTGGCCTGGGCTGTGCACAGGGAGCAGTGGGGAGCCACGGAGAGGCTGGCAGTGCCCCTGAGGGCGTCCGTCCTCAGTCTGGGGACCACCTACAGGGCTGCCTGTGGAAATAAGGAGGCCAGGAATTTGGGAGTCCCTAGCCTAGAGTCCAGGGACAGTGGCCCAAGGAACAGTGACGGAGTCTGGGAGACAGTTCGGGGATTGGAAGGCCACTGGGATCCAAGCTCAGGACGTCTGGACCCACCAGGAATTCATGGTCTCCTTCCTTTGTGGGGACCCGGCCCATCTCTCCACGCCTCCGCCCAGCCGTCCAGCCCTCATCCCCGACTCCCCGCAGGACTACTCCACCCCACACTGCCTCCCGCCCGTCTTTTGGGTTCTGCCTCTGCTACTCACTTCTCCGTCTTGGGGCTGATGCTCCCCGGTGTGGCGTCCGCCCCCCCCCCCCCCCCGGGGCGCTGGCCAGCCTGTCCTTTGCCTGCCCGCAGGCCAGGCCTTGCCTTTCGGGCATTAGCCGTGGCCGCACAGCCTGACCCCTTGGCCCCTCTCAGGGGCACCGAGGCCCCTCCTGCCCCGGGTACAGGTGGGCGTGTGCTTGTGGCGGGGCGACGGGCCTGGGCACCCTGCTCACAGGCCCCCCTCGCTGAGAAGTTGGCCGCAGGTGCTGCTTGGACCACACGGACGCTCCTGGCCGTCTTTGCCCACAGCCTCCCTGTGCGGTGCCCATCCTTCCATTCCTGAGTCGGAGACGCGCTGGTTTTCTCCTTTGCTTCCTTTTCCCCTCTGCTTCCTGCCTTTTTGAGTGTCTCTCTGGACTTTTTTTCCCTTTTAATTCTTCACTTCTTGTTCGCTCAAGTTGTCCCAAACACGGCCAGGAGGAACCACTTCCAGCCGGGGCCTGGGTCCCATCGGCACTGGTGGCGTGGCCGTGGTCCTCTCCGTTTGTCCTCACTTCCTAGGTCAAGGTGCCCCAGGCCCTGCTCCGTGGAGCCCTGTCCCTTTGTCGTGGCGCTCCGCAGGCTTTGAGACTCTGCACGGGAGGGGCAGCCCCGCGGAGCAGAGGCCGGCCTTGTGGGGCCTTCCAGCTGGCCGTTCACGGGCAGGCCCGGAGGCCGCGCGCCGGAGGACTTTCCCCTCCAGCCCCCTGCCACTCACCACCGCCTCTTTAGAGAGAGAGCCTTTTCGGCGTTTCTTTTTAAGTTTATTTATTTACTTGGTGCACACGCATGAGCTGGGGAGGGGCAGAGAGAGGGAGAGAGAGAGTCCCAAGAAGGCTCCGTGGGGACCGCACAGAGCCCGAGGTGGGGCTTGATCCCACCCGTGAGATTGTGACCTGAGCCGAAGTCTGGAGTCGGAGTCGGATGCTTAACCGACAGAGCCACCCAGGCGCCCCTGCAACGTCTTTTAAAAGCGTTTATAATCTTTGAACTGTCTCTTTCTCACCTATGCTCCCTGACATGGCTTCAGCTGGTGATCGGAAATCTCTGTGTGGGGTTGCCCTCCCTGGAAACACAGTGCGGGAAGCCGTAACCGCGCAGAAGTCCGTCGTCCTAGGCCGGACTTGGCTGCTGTCCCTGTCTGCGCCAGGTTCTGCTGGCTCCAGTGTGTGTGTGTGTGTGTGTGTGTGTGTGTGTGTGCACGCGTGTGCACGCGTGTGTGTGCGGAGCAGCGCCTGGGTGGTCGAGTGCTCCTCTCCACTGCTGCTGACCACGTGTTTTTGGAAAAGCGCAATGTGCCCTGAATTCCCTGAGTCACGTGGCATCCGCAGGGCGGAGTTTCACTCGTCCGATTGCTGGGGAGCGCGGGGTGGGGTGTCTGCTCTTCCGCGGCTGGTTTGGGGTGAAAGCCCCCAAGGTATAAATCACCGAGCGCGACCCGCCGATCCTGACCACATGGGCTGTAAACCCTGCGAGAAGCACCCTGTGCAGGCGCGGTCAGGGTTCTGTGGCCGGCGCCCAGCTGCCCTGCAGGGCGAAGCTCTGCCGGCGGCCACTAGGTGGCGCCCCGCACACACGCCTGCGCTCCCAGCTGCAGAGCGGGTCGGAGTCCCGTGTTCCCTGCGGGAACGTAGAAACGTATCCGCTCCGACTTCACAGCATTTCGGACGGTAGTATCGTTTCCTCGGTTCAGGTGATGTTAGTGGCACACGGGCCCGCAAGAGCCTCCCAGTAAGCGGTTTTCAAATACCGGGAGCAGGGGCGATAATGTCATAGCCACTCGACAAATGCTTGTCCCCGGGACTTCAGTGTTACACGCGTACGGAATGAGGCAAATCGTACAATTCTTTGCGCCTCGCGTTCTTTATTAACATAAGATGGGTAAATTCGGATTCTTTCATTCCCAGAGACTCCCTGTTCGTTACTCAGATGTACTCGCCGTGTGCACGGCACGCTCCCCTCTTGCCCCGGGGGGACGAGGCCCTCCCTCGGGGGGACAGGCCCTCCCACACGGAGCCGCCGGGGCCACTCAGTTCTGTCCTCGGCCCTCGGGACGCGTCAGCAGTTGTCAAACGTCCGTTCTCGGGAAAGAACGTTTGCCAGACTTGGGGGGCTGTCTTCACGGGGTTTGGGGTGCGCCCCGCCCTGCCTGAGGGAGCGTGCAGGTATACGCTGCTGCTGTGCCACTGCGGCAGAGGAGTAACGAACAGTGGCGGGCCCCGTGTCACCAGGGGAAATAGGCTAAGTCCCGTGCCGGTTTCTGCTACACGTCATACACCCCTGGAAATACACATTTTGAGAATTCCGAAGGTGGGTGATTTGTGTCTAGTGACTTAAGTCTTCAAACGTGTGGGTTTTTCTTCAGCAGGATCTTCTTCGTGATTTACGTAGAACTCGAGGCAAACGGTACAACCTCTGGAAGAGACGCAACGGATGAGAAATGAAAAATTCCCCCAGTTTTCCAGCTGATTTTAAATCCAAGAACTTCACTTGTAATTTAGCTTCTTAATCATTTTCTCCAGGTTTATCCTTCATCACGTGCGTTGTTCTATGAAGGCCTGGGGGTCTGTCTGCCTTGCCGATGCATCTGCCACAGTTAGCAGGAGTTCTGGTTTCCCGTGATAAATTTTATAACCTTCGTGAAGCAACCTAAAATTAAATTCACCTTCTAGAATCTTAAATAAGCACGACAAGGTAGATGAGTTGTTGTGATTAGCAAAATTAAGATTAACTTAAAAAGTATAATAGGAGGGACTGATAACAAAATTAATGGCCTTGGAACATAGACTTCCACTGGGAGACATCGAGATTGGTGAGTTAAAAAAATACACGTGTAACACGTAGGATCACGTTCACAGTCTACTGGAGCCTTTCCCGACCGACTCCTCACTCTTCTCTCAGCTCAGAATTCTTTCCGTGTCTTGGGCCACGTGGCAGGAGCGCTGGAGGCAGCGTTCAGTCGCCGCGGATCCAGCCCAGGTGACTGTGGATGGACAAAAGCCATGTGGGAAGCACATGGGGCTGGTGGCGGAGGTGTCCCCAGTGGGGAGAAGAGCACAGAGGCCAATCAAGCCATGAGACCCGGGGATGCCGCGAAAGCAGCGGAGGGGTCTCCGTGAGACACCCAGCCTGCCACCCGTCCCCGGGGGCCCTCTGTCACCGGCACGGGTGGGACCCGCTCAGGCCCCCGGAGGTCACCAGAAACAAGCCAGGTTGCAACCAAAGCCACTGAGAAAGTGAAAACAAGACCGTGATTTTCGGCCCCTTTTCTGTTTGGGGGAGCCCAGCTGGGGTGAGGGACTCCCAGGGCTGTGGGCAGAGACCCACGTGGCTCTCGGCTCTGTGCCCTTGGGATCTCCCTCTTCTCCTAGGAGCTCTTTCTAGAGCAAAGAGCAGAACAGATGAGCGAGGAAAAGGGTCTTTTTATTTGAAACAGCACTGCCACCCCAAACCAGCCCACCTGCTGGGTCCCGTGTCCCCTAAGAACAGTGCTGGCTTCCTGACCCAAGAGCCTGGTCGTGTGTGGCGGACCTGGGACTGACCCTGGCCCCAGCCCCGCCCACCCGCCGTGAGAGGACGAGGACTGAGGCTCCGTGGTAGCAGGTGTGTGTGAGGTCAGAGGCCCCACGGCTGCAAAGCCGGGCACCCTGCAACCCGCCATTCGCTCGGCCAACACGAGAGGTCCCCAGCGGAGGCAGGGCCACGGGACCCCCCGCCGTGCAGCCCACAGCTTGAGGAGTGGAGGGGGTCGGGTCTGAGACTTTCAGGACTGGGGGAAACCCTGCAGCAGAGGGGTGTTGCGCCCTTCAGTAGAAATAGCACGTTCACGGACAGAGGCAACTCAGAACCTTCTCTAATTCTGCCCCTGATTTACTGGCCAGGAAGTAGATTAGGCCCCACCTGTCCAGAATTTCACAGCTACCAGGGGCGAGTAAGACCAGGACCCTGGTGTCCAGTGTATTTTCATGCTTCTGCACAGGCAGACTCTGAACTCAGTCATCGCATCACCCCGGAGGGGATATATTCTCCAGACAGAAACACAATGGCAACCGAGTCATGGGCTAAATCTCCCGAGAGACCAGGGCCAAATGGAGCGATTTTCCTGAATGGAATGTGGCAAAACACAGAGCCACACTTTGCCATCCTCGGATCAGATGTGTCAGAATTAAGTTTTCAGGTTGTCAAAAGTTAGTATGTTAGTATCTCTGATAAGGGACTAATCTCCAAAATACATAAAGCACTCCCAGAACCCAGTAGCAAAATAAAACGTGATTACAAAGGATGAGAACAGACATTTCTGCAAAGAACGCAGACGGCCAACGTGTACGTGAGAAGGTGCTCAGCGGCACTCGTCAGAGGAGCACGTCAGAACCCCAGTGGGTGCTCCTCACGCCTGCTAGGGTGCCGCCACCAAGAGGACACTGAGCGCTGGCGAGGGAGTACAGGAAAGGGGTCCTCGTGCACCGCTGGTGGGGATGCGCACTGCCGCAGCCACTGTGAAAACAGTACAGACGTGCCTCAAAAGTCAAAAGCAGGTTCTACTTATCCAGTGATCACACTTCTGGGTATCTACCCAAAGGAAACAAAAGCACTGAGTCAGAATGGTGTCTGCACCCCCACGTTCACTACCGCGTTATTCACAACAGACCAGACACAGAAGCAGCTGAGTGTCCCTTGACGGACAAGCGGATGAAGAAGAAGGGGGGGGGGGGGCGAGTACACGCACCGCGGAATATTAGCCATAAACAGAAATGAAATCTGGCCATTTGCGACAACACGGACGGACCTGGAGAGCACTGTGCTAAGTGAGATAAGTCAAAGAGGAGTAGAACATGATCTCAGTGGTACAGGGGATCTTTAAGAAAAACAACCAAGGCCACGGAAGCAGCATGGATTGGTGGTTGCCGAGGCAGGGAGGAGAAACGGGTGAAGGGAGTCAGAAGGTAAAAATAAACAAATAAATAAATAAATACAGTGTATTGCTGAGCAGCGACAAAAAGCAACACATTTTTGGATGCACAAACCTAAACGCGGGTTGGAGTTCCCAAGCTGCCAGCCCCAGCCGCTCCCTGTCACCGTAACCCCGCAGGAAAGCGTAGGGTGACATAGGAATGACATCTTAAGGCGTGTGCATACTTCCGGCTGCTTTTGGCAAACGACCTACGTTCACCTGTTCTCTGCGTCTGCACACACACAGTTAACATGCTGTGTGTGCTGCGTGTTACGGGGCCCTGTGGGGCCGGGCCAGTGCCCCGTAATCACATTCACACTCCTCTTTCCTCAGAAAAGCGCTCTCCTACCACTTCAGCTCAAGGTTTGCTACCAAGGGAATGTGCCGCAAACTTGACAAACAAATCTTCCTGTTTTTAGAGCTTTGTGGGTTTCAGAGGTGCAGTTAGGGGGCTGCAGGCCTGTGGTGCGTCGTGACGTCGGGGTGCAGGTGAGCGGATGGTGTCGAGGAGAGCAGGGGGCTTCTACTGCCACGGTTTTAGAGCAGGTGTTTACAGGACGCGGCGTGGAAGGATCCAGGCACGCGCCGCGTCTGGCGAAGCAGGCTGCTGTTGGGTGCAAGGTGGCAGTGGTGGCCCCACGCTCTGCCCCGGTGCCAGACTGGGCTCCGCCTTGCAGACCTGTGACTCCCCAGGCGGTCCCTCCCAGTTTCTGTGTTAGGTTGGAAATCCTCACCGCGCTTTCTTCTCTTCGGTTTACTATTAGCGTGGGGTTTTGTGCACACTTTGGGGAGTTGGCTTCTACTGAAGACGGTTAGCCGAGGTCACCCGGGAGGGCAGCAGGGGTACCAGTTAAGGGCCCTCCGCCCAAGACCAGCCACACTGCTGGCCCTGTCCTTCTGAGGCATTTGCACGCGCCTCTCCCCGCCTCACCCCACCCAGCACGACCCTGCAGTAGCAGGAGCCCGTCCGTCCAACGGGAGTGCCCTCCGTGTTGCTTCCTTCGCTTTCGGGCTTTGGTGACTTCTCTCGAATCTTTTTATAAGCGCAAGTAAAGAGACAGAATCGGGTATTTTGCCGGCACAGAATATAAACACTGGATTTGGATTCTCCTGACTTCGTTCAGAAACCCAGGGTGGAGGCGGCCAGGCTGAGGACGCTATTGCGGGTGTGGCCCCGCATGACCGAGACCGAGCAGTGCGTCCGCCCCGAAGCAGGTGGGCAGGCAGCTGTTTTTCACGCCAGGCCCCTCCCGCCTTGGACCGCACGGCCTAAGGCCTTGGCCTAAGAGCGGCCTGTCTGGAAGCAGAAAACTTGGAGAGAACACGCCTCGTGCTGTTCTGGGTCCCGGCCTCAGTGACGTCCTGGGGGAGAGCGTGACAGAGCGGGCAGTGACAAAGTGCTGTGCATCCAGGTCAAGCGTCGGTCGCCTGTCTCCCAGGAGGGGGCCCGGACCGTGCCTCCGGGAAGTACGCCGTTGACTGCCCGTCCGATGACCCCACCCGGGGCACTGGTGGCGGCCCCGGGACCCGCGCTCAGCGAGCGGCCGTGACCCCAGCCGCCGGCTCTACGCCATCACCTGCTGTACCCCTGCTTGGTCCGGGGAGCAGCTCTGGCGCCCGCAGTGCATTTTCTTTATCAGCCGCCGGAGTTTGCTGGGGAAGTTTCTGTTGATGTAGCGGTAAAGGAGCGGCACCACGGAGCTGCTGGAGAAGGCCAGGAATCTCGCCACGTCCTTAGCGAAGAGCAGGATCCCCAGGTGGTGCCTGTCAACGGGCTTCCCCCGCAAGGCCAGCAGCGTGTGCCCCAGGAGGGTCAGGTAGTGAGGCGTCCACAGCCCGAACTGCGTGCACACGGTGGCCACCAGGAGCCTGTGCACCGAGGGGTCCGGCCTCCCCGCGTCCTGGTCGAGCGGCGTGTCCTCCTTCCGGATCCTCGAGATGAGCGCCAGCGCGTAGAGCACGGCCAGGGCGGGGACCACGTAGCCGATGAACACCATGATGGCGTCCGCGGCCTGCGCGTCCCGCATCTTGGAACACTCGACGATCCTGGCGGCCACGTGGCTGCAGACGTAGAAGAGCAGGGAGGAGAAGCTGGTGAGCAGGGCCCCGCCCCAGACGAAGCCGCACACGTGTCGCGTGTTGTAGACGCTGGACATGTAGGTGCGCGGCAGCGCCCGCTCGATGTAGCAGTCGAGACTGAGCAGGGCCGTGGAGTACATGGTCACCAGGGAGGAGACGTTGAACAGCACCAGCAGCGTGACGTGGGCCTCGCTGCCGAAGCCCCACAGGGCCCACCCGGAGGCGGTGGGGCCCAGCAGGTGCACGGGCGCCAGGGCGCCGAGCACCAGGCCCGCCACGGCCATGTTGACGAAGTAGACGTCAGGCATGGTCATGCTGCTCTGGTCGTGCAGGTTGACCAGGACGAGCAGGGCGTTGTAGCCCAGGCCGACGGGGACGCCGGCCACCAGGTAGAGCAGGGAGAAGACGGACAGGACCAGATGCAGGTGCTGGCACAGCGGCTGGTCCTCCGCGCCGCCCGTGCCGTTGAGCGGGCCGCAGCTCCACATGATGGAGGGCTGCGGGAGAAAGCAGCGGAAGGTTAGCCAGAGCCCCGGGCCCCGCCAGCCCCTCAGAGATGCGGAGGTGGTGCCCGAAGGGAGCCTCGCCCCTTAACCTAGCAGGGCAAGGGCTAGAGACCGTGGGCCCTTCCAGGAAAACTCCGTCCCGAGCGTGCGTGTTCTGGGAGAGCCAGGTCGCTGTCCGTGGCTGCCTTAGGTCCTGAGCTGGGCCCGCAAGGTCCCGATGCTGCCGTGACCCTAACGGCCGTGGCGAGCCTCCCCGAGCCGTTTCTAGAGAAATCTGAGCACTGGATGATGCGCCCGAGATCCCGCCGGGGAAGCCGCTTCGGGCAGCCTTCACGCTGCCTCCCGTCCTGGCTTCTCTCCGCCATGCGGGGACACCCTGCAGGGCTCCCCACCCCCAGTCCTGGGCTCCCGTCCTGCCCCCCACCACCCAGTGGCTTTAAGTGAGCCCCGTGACCACCTCTTTTTCAGCCTCTTTACTGAAAGGGGTTTTAGAAGGACGGGTGCCCGTGGCGCGGCACGCAGGGCCGTGATGCGTATGGGCCTTCCCACGACAGGGTGACCCTCCACAGCCTCCTGGGTGGGAACAGCAGGCCGCCACAGCCCTGCCCGGACCCTTCGCGGCGTGCGTGGGAATTGTGCGTCCGCCCGCCCTCCACACCTGTGTCTGCGGTCTGGTGGCCAGAGACCCGCCCCGTCTCTCCTGCCACCTGGGCTGCACCAGCACGCTGCGCCTCTGTCCCCGAGAGCGGGTGTGGCTGCGCACGTGGGAGCAGGTCGCGGGCAGCTGCACAGGCTGGCGTGTGACAGGTGCGCCCTGAACGCAGCTGGGAGAGCAGGAGGCGCTAAGCCAGGCGGTGGGAGCCCCACCTGAGGAGGAGCGCGGGAGTGGGGGTGGCCACCGTGGGTGAGGGGCTCACGCCTTGGTGTCCACCGGGCCGCCACGGGGCCCCGGTGATGGGGTTCCCTCGGAGGGAAACTTGCGCTGCGCTCCCCCCCCGTCCCCCCTCCCCGCTGGAGTGCAACCCAGTGGTCCGTGGTCTAGCACACGGGAGGCGTGGGTGTGCGGCTGGCCGGGAGGACCCACACGTGAGGAAAGAGCACACTCTTCACGTGTCACGGTCCTTTGGAGGAAAACCTTCCATGCAAAATGAATTTCGGCCCATCCTGATCTCCTGCTCTCAGAATAAGAAATCCTCTCGGGCGAACACATGCAAAGTGCACGTTTGTTTCCCGGGCGTAGGGGCTGAGGGTTCTGCCAGCCCTGTTGCTGTTGATGCCGGACCCCAGCCCCTGAAGGGGCTCGGGGGCCAGGCCCTGCCCACACCTGCCGCTGCACTGCAGGCTGGAGCCTGGCATGGGGGTGGGGGGTCGGGTGGGGATCAGGCGGTGAACACAGACATCTACCTGCTGATTTCCTCCGAGGCAGTGAGCCAGTGGGGCGCCAGGGGGTTAACCAGGAAGTAAAGGGAGGTTGGGGGTCCCCACAGCAGGAGTGCGCCTGCATCGGCTGTGATGGGCAGGTGGGCAGTCGGTGCGTGAGCTCCCGTTCAGGGACATCGAGTCAGTGGGAGTGTTTTGTAATTCTCGTGAGTGCCGCCCAGCAGCCCATCAGATGGGAGTGATGCTCGGGGCCGGGCCGGCCGGATTCTGCCCACACGTGCTGATCACATCACTTTTAGAAGTGTTCGCTGTAATCCACAGCATGGGTTGGGTCCCTAAATCTAGACCATGCTCCTCAGCTTCTGGTCCTGGTGGGCGCCCTGCACCCCAGGAACCGGATCCTGGGGTGCAGCGGGGGCACTGGGCTGCTGGCATGTTCCTGGAACACCTGTGGTTCCTACAGGAACCTTTGGTCTCCCAGAGCTGGATGGTGGGGGGGGGGGGCCTTTTTGTGTCATCTTTTAGCTGATTACACGGCTGGTTTCCACTCTCCTTCCTGAACTCATCCGGAGCTGGCTGTGGATGTTTAAGTGCAGTCTCCTCTCTGTTCTGGGCTCCTGCAGGCCGAACCATGGCTCTGACCATAACCGGGGACAGCGAACGGGGGCCCATGGCTGTGGAGAGCTTGTCCACCAGACTTCACAGGCCTCGAGTCCCCAGGAAACACCGCGCATTCTTGTGGCCACTGGACGTTTCACATCCCATTGCATCCGTCTCTGCCGTGGTCAGCCCACAGGCAGACTCCCTCTGGTCTGGCCCTGCCTGGCTCACATCCTACCCCAGGGCCCGTGGGGTCTGCCCGAGGTGTCGCACCTACTCTCGTGTACCGGCCTCCCTCCTCGTAAGGAGACCGAGACGTGGAGCCGCAGCCCCACAAAAGGAAGGGCCTTCCGCCATCTTTAACACCGGCGTTGAACTCACACGGGGTAGTTGCTAGCGAGAAAGGTGGGCTCGCGATCGGCGCCCAGGCCGGGACCCCAGGATTCGCGCTCCTGGTGTGACGAGCCCGTCCTTCCCTCCCGGTTCAGGTGTGGCGGGAGGGGGGGGCGGGGGACATTCGGCACTCACCGCTCAGGGCGTCCCCCCCGGCCCAGCCCCTCCCGGCCGCCTGTCCCCGGTGCAGCCATAGGTGCAGCCATAGCGGAGCCTTCGGCGCAGGCTGCTTACCTTTATCCCGAGCCCCGCGTTTCTGTGCGCCTGGACCGCAGACCCCGTCCGTGAGCAGCCAAGGACGCCGAGAGGATCCTGTTTCTCTGCCCCCCACCCCCACCCCACCCCACCCCACCCCCGGGAGCTTATCAGCCGCAGCCGTGCAGCGCTGGCTTCCTGCGCGGGCGCGTGTGTGCGCTTGGTGCCCAGTGTGGACGCACACTTGTTTTCCTCCAGTAAATCACTCGGTCTCTGCCTCCCTTGGCAGGCACGGCGGCCCCTCCCCAGCTCTGTTTACAGCCGGTTTCACGGAATGAGGGTTGTGCCTGGAAGGGCCGGCACCGTCGGATCAGGCTCCTGCCCTGCTGCTCCGGTTTCGGGAGCGCCCGCTTCCTCCCCCCTCTGCGCCCCCGGCCCGCACTGGGTGGCGGGGCCGGTGCGATGAGGCTCGTCTGGAGCCCACGTGGCCGCTCCGGACACTCGGGGTGCTGGGCGTGTGCACAGACGAGTTCCTTTTTTCCCTCTGCGAGGAAGCTGGGTGGCCACTAAGGGCGGAACGCGGGCCTCCCTGAGAGTTACCCAGTCACCATGGAGAGGGGCCGTGGCCGCCTGCCCTGGGGCGTGGCCCCGAGAGCTCTCCAAAGCGGGCAGCGGTGGCTGAGGGCCAGGCTCGGGACCGGCAGGAAGAAGGGTGGGTGCCTTCTCGACGTCGCTGTGGAACACAGCCGGCCTGGAGCCTCCCGGCCGCGGGGTCAGAGCCGCGGCCCTGACTGCCCACGGCTGCCCCGTAGGGCCGCAGGAAGGGCCGCTGGCGGGCCACCGCACTGGGCTGAGGACGGCTCCGTTCTTGGGAAAGCCTCAGCCGGAACGCGGTCTGTTGAGAGCCTCCTTCCTAGTTCACGTGCTCGTGTGGCCCCAGCTCGCTTGTCGGAGGGGGCGCTGCGCGTGCATGGTTCCCACGTGGGTCAAGTACACGGGCAGCCGTGATCTGGATGCAGACGGTTCGCTTTCTCTAGGCCTGACGAGAGGCCTCGTCCTTTCGTTCCGGCAATCCTCCGGGGAGGCCAGCGGTGAGGAGCCGCCTTGTGTCACAAACGGGGCCGTCTGTCTGGCATTTGCCGAAGCTCATCCCTGTCTTTGGAGGGGGAGTGGGGGAGGCGGAGGGTGCCACCGTCACGGAGGCTCCCGGACGGCCAAGCACCTGCCTCGAGATGGGCTCGCCCGCGCCCTGTGCAGACAGAACGTGGGTCCCAGGGAGCACGGCTGGCAGAGCCAGCCGAGCCCGGGGTGTGGGCACGTGGCACGGTGGACGTGCTCAGGAGACCAGAACTGCCGCGTGTCGAGCGAGCAGGACGGGCCAGTGAGAGAAACACGCTCAGGTCTCGGAGCCGGTGGTGCTCGTCACAGCGCAAACATTGCGGAGACCGTGGGCGGGGGTGCCGCCGGTCAGGGCCCGGCCCCGGTGCTGTTCCTCAGGGCCGCTGCCTGCCGCTCTGCACCTGGGAGCCCGCGGACGCCCCCACGCCCACCCCCTTCCCGGCCCTGCCTTTCTCTGGTCCCCGGTTCCTTGCGGTGACCCCACTTCCCTTTTGTGCACTCTGGTTTTGCAAGTCCAGGAACCTGGGAACAGAGACTTCCCCTCAGGCTGCCCGGGAAGCAGGCCAACCTGGGAACAATGGTTTGGCTCCCGCCCTCCCGCACAGGCCTCAGACCACCTTTCCAGCTCGCCAGTTCTCGGTTCACTTCCTTCGGCGAAAGAGGAACTTGGGGCACAGCCGGCGGGGAGGCGGCCTCTCCAGGGCCGAGCAGGCCTGCGCTCCACTCTCCATCCGTTTTCATTTGGAAATCTGCCACGTTCTCCCCAAATGGCAGGATGGACAATCCCAACTTCCGGGCCCTGCCACCTGCCGCAGCCCCTCAGCTGACGGTGTCAGGGTCGGCGGGGACCCCAGTGGGCCTCCCATCCAGGCTGGCTCTCCAAACAGGCCGGTCCTGTCACCACACCTCCCCACTAGGACCCCTGAGCCCTTCCTTGCCGGAGCTCCCCACTGCCTCCCTGGCCCCTTGTGCCTGCGCTCCTTTTCCACACGCTTTAGAGCCCTTTCCAGAAGGGTCCATTGGCAGAGACGCCTGGCCTGCTCTGCCCTTCCCGCCCCCACTCCCTCGGTGCCACTCTGCCTCTGCTGGCCCTGCCTCTAGCCTCCCAAAGCCTCTTCCAAGATTCCTTCAGGACTGACACCCCATCATGTCCATCCAGGTGCCCTGTCTGCACCCACAGCGATGGCTGTGCCCACGGACCGGCACCCAGGGCCCCCCGTGAGCCCCCGCTCCTGCCAGCCCACCGTTTCACTGCAGCTGAGCGCTGGGACCGTCCCCGAACCTCTCCCCTCCTCCCAGGGTGGGTGTTCCAGGTCGGAACCCCTTCCCGACCTCACGCCACCGGAGCCGAGAAGCACACGAAAAGCTGCGAACATCTTCCGAGAGCCCCCCTCCCCACCCCACCCCGGATCTCCATGCATCCTCAAGACCCCCGCCGAGATGGGTCTGCGCTTCTCTGCGGTGTCGTGAGCCCAGACCGCCAGCCGGCCTGGGTGCACAAAGCCAGGCGCCCCTGGCACGTTGGCAGGAATGGGCACAGCAGGACCGCCGGGCCCCCACCCTCTGCTGGTCCAGAAGCGGGCCTCGGTGGTGACAGGCCAGCGCAGGGCGGGGGCTGCAGGAGTGCTGTGCGCCAGTATCCGGGCCGGGCGGCAAAAGGGAGGCGCTCTGCAGGCCGGCGACCACGCACCTGCTTGTGGCTGTCCAAGAAAGACCAGGTTATGAGTTCATGCTGGCTTTTCCTGTAAAGGTGACTCACGTACCCTCTCTCTCTCCGAGAGCTTTCTGGGTGTTTCGTTCTCTAATCACACTCAGAAGAAAGCCTCCGCACCATAAGGACTGGGCTGGCCTCTCCAGTGGCCACTCCCCTTCCCAGGCCTCTTCAGACGGCTTCGGGGCAGCACGGATCCAGGCCTGTGGGGCCAGTCGACAGATGACCGAGGTGGGGGAGGGCGGAGGAAGCTGCCTGGTGGAAGCAGGCGCCGGGACTGGCCTGAGAGATGGCTGCACGAAGCCCCCCGCCCGGGGTGAGCCCTCAGCCGACTCGGACCATTACCGCGAACCCTTCGGCGGCTTGGCTGCGCATCCCAGAGGGGCGAGAGGTCACAAATGGCCTGTTCGTCCAGAAAAACCTGAGAGGACCCGGAGGCTGAGGGGGCACCCCTGCACGAGGCTGGCTGTGCGGCGGGAACCCTTCGGAGGGAACAAGGCTGTGCTCGACGCTCCAGCGTGGAGGGGTCACCTCTGGGACCCGTAGAGGAGAGCGAGGCCGAGGTCCACAAGGGCAGGGTTTCTTGGTCAAAGCTGGCGTTCCATTTGTGGACTTGGTGCCACGGCTTTGCCATCCAGGCCTCTCTGCGGGCTCACGGGGTGACCTCGGGCCAGCCTCTCAGAGGGCGCAGTAATACGGTAGCCACCCCTGGCAGGGCAAGGGAGGCCTGACTGGCGCTTGTGGAGGATGGAGCGAGAGGCCACCGGGCGTGCAGGTGTCTGAGCATTTCTAGGGACTTAGTTTCCGGAGCCCTCTGTCTCCCTGCATCCCCTACAGAGGCCTGTGTGTCCTCAGCTGGGTGACAGTCATTTACTACAAATGCTCTCAGGTAGAAAAGAAAAGCCATTTACTTCCAAGACCACCTCTGGCCTTCAATAATTATTTTTCACGAAGGTGCTTTCCTGGACTTGCCATTTCCAGGCCCAGGAGGTG